TTTATCGGATGTATCTGTCTTTTTGTTTGGATGTTGTGTCTTCCCCCGCCCGGGTTTGTCCTGACGGGACTGGTGGAAGCCCGCCTCCTAAATGATCTACCTTGTGTCGATGGAAGCTTTAAACCACCTCTCTTTTTTTCTTAAGATGATATAACTACTTCCTTAGTAGGACCTCTCTGGGCTCTCTGGGCTTGAAGACTGAAAGAGAATCAACGAGAAAGAAATCTACGTGCGCGAGTTCTTTTTATAGGCAGTAAGTTGTGGAGAAAAATGATGTGTAGCAAAATGTGTTGAGTTATTCCAGTGGGTGCTTATTAAACCGTGGCAGATAGATGTGTGTATCGAAATTATACACAAATAAACCCGAATAAAACTGTTATAAGTGCATGCCATATATGATAAATCGTGTAAATATTGCAAATAAACTGGTGTATTTTCACGTCATTTAAGATTAAACTGCATAGGAGTAATCGAAACAATTCAATAAGCGAAACAGAATTTTATGCGGTTCCGATCAGGGTCCTTCGACTAGCAAAACATAAATAAATAAATAAATGAATACATATATAAATAAATACTTAAATGAATACGTAAATGCAAAATATATACATAAATACACACATAAATACATGATATTTAAATACGTAAATGCATAATACGTAAATAGACCGACACAGATAGATAATCAATAAATGGAATGACAATTTAAGGACTTCGATTTTTTTCGTAGTGCTTGGCTGGTTTGTGTATAGAATGGTCGAGTTGTGAGAGTCAGCATGCATGGAGACAGTTGGTGAATGGATGGTGAAGAAGAAGAAAGCCTTGTTTTCTGGTCTCAGTATTTTGAGTTTAATCTATACTTAGCAAGTGAACCCCCCGGAGCAGTGCCACTGACTGTAGTGTCTTTAGGCCATTCCCAAAGGGGGGACATTTCTCGTTCAAGCGCAGTAGAATTGCAAATGGGCTGATTCATTATGTCACGCTCATAACTGTGCCTGATCTACAACAGGGAACTGCTGCTTTTTCTTTCCTAATCCTTACTATAGTCATTTTTTCCTCTACTTCTTTTGTTTTTTTGTCACACTCTTGTGAACCGCTATTTCCGGGGTGCTTTGATAGTCGAAGCAGACCTTGTGCTGTTGAAGCTAGACAGGTGAGCAGAGTAAGTCTGATTCCCTGTAAGGACGTCTCTGTCGACACCCACCCCTTGGCGCTCATATGACCTTATGCAGTTGCGAGCGCCGTAAAACCCTCTACTAAAAATAATAATTAAAAAAAAAACCCCAAAAACCAACAACAAACGTCTTTTCCTTGGGACTGCTTTGTCACACGTTTGGCAGCGATCAGTACATTGACCAACACAATGACCAGTGGATAATGCAAAACATATTTTCTCCTAGGCTCCGTTTCTGACCACACAGCATAATGTTAGTTTTTCTGCACCTTTTGACTCCCTGTGGTTTTGGAACTTGTCCACTCGCTGAGAGTCTCTGCCAGTCAGTTAATTAAGCAAATAAATGAAACTGCCCGCTGGTGTGTGAAAAAGTTAATCGGTTTAGCTGTGCCCGGGACAGGCTTGCAGTGTTTGGCAACACGACATGCAGACGTCAGTTTTGCTTGAAGTGATTTGTTGTGAGTGTTTGAGGAACCCTTCAAAGGTATTTGAGACATTTAGGAAGCTGGCTGTGAGGGATACGGAAAGGCAAAAAGTTTGATGTTGTGTCACCACTTTTTAAAGAAGATGTATTATTATTTTTATTATGTGGGTGTGTGCTCGATGTTGATGATGGATGTGTTATCTTTCACTGTACTGTAAGAGTTCGATTCCCATAGGAGGAATATATTTTGTTGTGTTGCTGTGTGGCTTTGGTCTTTACGGGCGGGCAGAGTGGAAGCAGCAGCCGGCCTTCTTGATAAGTCGAAGTTGTGCCGAGTGTAAGGGGCAAGAAGGGAGTAGGGGGGATAGAGATAGAGGAAGATACACAGAGAGGGGGAGACAGAGAGAGAGAGAGAGAGAGAGCTGTGGGGGAGGGAGAAGAGGAGGAGGAGGAGAGAGAGAAAGAGAGAGAAGGGGGAGAAAGATTGAGATAGAAAGAGGGGGGGAGGAGTAGAATCAGAAAAAGAGGAGAGAGAGAGAGAGGGGGGGGGGAGATACAAAGAGACGGGAAAATTGTAACACAAAATGGAAACAGCTACGTGTATGGTACTTGACTTGACACCGTCACATGTCAGAGGTCTTGCATCAGCATTCACGGCCCGGCCACCGTTGTCTCACTAGCTCCCACCTGGGTGTGCCTAACCTATCGGGGGCCGGGGAAGGAAACTAAAAACCCAAACCTTTCCACTTTCCACTTTCCAGTTATACCCAGTGCACACAGTAAAGCGAGCTCATAGTGTGACTGAATCGGGGACGTTCAGATTCTTTTTCCACGGTGGTGAGGTGACAGTTACCGTTTTGGTACAATTTGACTCGATTGTAACCTTCAAAACCAAACGCGTCTCTTATTCAATGTCGCAACACGAGTCGGTCGCATTGGGACAAAAATGGTAAGTTTTACCCACTTCGTGGAGGAAAATCTCGCTGGCCCCGACTTCATTCAAATCAACTGGATTGAGAGTGTGCACTAGGTATTGAGGATTACGGTATCTTACGCACACAACACAGTTGTAGGCCTTTGGAGTACGCGTCCTTTTCTTGGCGCGCCGTCGCCACTCCCTCCCGCATTTTTGCGGTTAGTCGAGGCTCCTTCTTTTTATTCTTTATTATTCCGTTTTATGCTCGGGCACAGTTTGACTTGAGAGCCTCGGCCGCCCCTCCCCCCGCTCCCCTACCCTACCCTTTCACCAGCACTACCCGTTGTGGCGGTTGTAGAGCACACCGGATGCAGTTGTAGACCGAAGTAGACTGCCAGGCGGTTTCTGACGACAGACAAAAACTTCTGACCTCAGCTCCGGCAGGCGGGCTAAAATCTGTCTCGACAGGGCGGAGTCAGGCGCTCGACACTTTCTAGGCGTGTGGAGTTGTTGGTAGAGTCTTAAAGCTAGTTTATCTGTCTTTCTTTTAAAATAAAACAATACCCGAACATCTTGAATAGAAGTCCAGCTAAGTTTGTTATTGATGGAGATGGGAATTTTGTGGTTGATGGCGGTGTGTATCAGAAGCAAAATTTGCGAGAAAATTATGACCACCAAAGTTTGGTGACTTCAATACGATGACCGTCCTTGGAAACCGACAGTTTTCATTTGTATGCCTTTGATCAACGTTTTTTCTGTAACATATTCTGACATGTGTAAATGTATGTGTGTGAATATGTGTTTGTGTGTGTGTGTGTGTGGTGTGTGTGTGTGTGTGTGTGTGTGTGTGTGTTTCCTTGTATCATTCTGTCAGTGCATATTATGTAAACTTGAATGTGTTGTCATGTCAATTCCATACAGCCTGCAATAATCTTGCCCCCCCCCCCCCCCCCTCGAAAAAATAACAACGAAAAAAAACATGGCATCTAGCATGCAGAAAGATTTCCGGCCATCTTAATGTCTTGTCCACATTGCTGTCTCCCGGAGCGGGGTCTTTGATGACGCTGGCTCGTCCTCTGTCTTCCTGTCACGAGTTATTTCCCCTTATCTCGATCACCGGTCTGTCTCTATCACAAACCAAGACATCCTTACGACCCGTGGCGTTGTCAAAGCCTTCACAACTCAAACTCACTCCCTTATGCTATTACTCTCTTATTACTTCACGTCTGTGGTCTTAATGCTCTTCGTCTTGCTCCGCTTTTTTGGCGGGTAGTTGGAGGGTGCTACAGGTAGGTCCTATTTTTACTTTAACTTTGTTGTTTCTGTCTATCTGTCTGTCTTTCTGTCCGTCTGTCTGTCTGTCTATCTGTCTGTCTGTCTTATTTTTTTCACAACACTAAATAACCATTAGTGTGTTGGTGGGCTTCTCTTTACTCTAGCAAACAAACACACCTTTTTGTCACAAAGAGAAACTTGCTTCCACTGCATCTATGAATGACTACGACTCTTTTTTTCAAAACACACTCAACAAATCGATAGACTGATGAGTAATAAATACCCCCGGGACAGTGCCATGGACTGCAGTGTCTTTAGGCCATTCCCAAAGGAGGGACATTTCTCGTTTAAGCACAGTAGAACTGTAAATAGGCTGATTCATTTCATGTTCATAACTGTGCCTGATCTACAACAGGGAACTGCTGCTTTTTCTTTCTTAATCCTTACTATTGTCATTTTCCTCTACTTATTTTGTATGTTTGTCACTCTCTTGTGACTTGCTATTTCCGGGGTGCCTTGATAGTCGAAGCAGACCTTGTGCTGTTGAAGCTAGAGAGGTGAGCAGAATAAGTCTGATTCCCTGTAAAGACTTCTCTGTTGACACCCACCCCTTGGTGCTCATATGACCTTATGCAGTTGCGAGCGCCGTAAAACCCTCTGCTATAAAACAAAATATGATGAATAATGTCTTGTGTTTTCCTATGTCCTCAGAGGATATCCAGGTGGGCTGCCGTGAGCTCCGGGCCCGGCGCTACATAACAGACGGGTTCTGCACGTCGGAGAAACCCGTCAAGGAAGTGGTGTGTGCCGGCAACTGTCTGCCCATCATGGACATGCCGTGGTCAGTCAGCTTGTCGTTTTGTCCGGGGCTGGGGGTGCTAATACAGATAATTATATTACTACCCCACAATTACTAAAAAGCGAATAAAACACAGTGTGTCCATGTTGTATAAAACTGAGACAAATGTGAGTTGTGCTGACAAAGCGAGTTGCTTCTTTCGGATTTTAGCAGTATGGAAATTGATACATCAACTTTATAGGTGGTGTTTATACAATTTGTAAGTATGGAATGATAAAAGACTCGGTAGACTTGACCAAAATGGCATCAACTGAAAATCTATAAATCTTACCCCAGTGTTAATTTAAGGCCGATGTCTCCATTCTTGGATCGCGAGAAGTATCTCATTTTGTCAGCACAGCTCACAAATGGAAAGAGTAAGGGGGGGGGGGGATATCTCGTGCTCTGAAAACAAAGGTGCGTACAAAACACACTATACTTCATGTGTTTCAAAACAGAGACGAATCGCTACTTCAGAATTACAAAGTTCTATCTGACATTTTTGGCTGTTTTGAGTGACTCAGACATTGATGATTGAGCTCAGAAACCAAATCTTCTATCTGCTCTATCAAAATCGAAAGATTATTCGAAGTCGTTATCGAGATATTCAAAGAATTGCATTCGAAAAAGCTTGCCATGTAGCGAAACTCAATCTTTTTTCATCAAATTTCTCAAAACAAGGTACTCTGCAGATAAAACTGTGTAACTCAAGGGTGGCGATATAAAATGTGTGTGGCATCGTGGGGACTTATTGCCTCTGATTCTTTCTATCTCATCTGTTGAAAGGTAAAATCTATGTAAACATAATTGTAAGTCTTTCAGAAGTAGGATCACTGTATCGTGGACAAGCTGGTCAAACGTTCTAAGCCCAGAAAGCAACAGTTTTTGAGGAGAGAGAAAAAACAATTACAATTTGTTGTCCTATCGATCCTAAGTTTACGTTTTCTCATTTGTTTGTTTGTTTGCTTTTTGCCTTTTTGAATATTTAGAATTTATATTTTGATAACGTACTTCTTGAGAAAATGCAACGGATACCACCGATGAAGAAACTGCAAGAAAAGGGATAAAAATGTTGGGTTTAGCAAATTTGAATGACATGCTTCGCCATAACTTCAGATTGTGAGGAGCTAAGAGTTGGCATATTCCTCATTAGGTGAACGTTCGTCAACGAGCTTCGAGATTCTGGTCAAAATTGACATCAGTTGTGCCAGTGGCAGGAGGAAGGGGGCCCTGTGGTAGAACTTACGTCTTTTGTTTGTCCGGGCTGTTTCTGTCTGCGAGGCTTACGTTCTCCCTGCACCAAGTGACCGCTGTTGTGTCGTGTGCCTCTCTTTCCTTAAACAAGCTGCTGGACATAAGTAGCAGCTCACTAATCTCTTAATATTTGCTATTCTGGCTCTCTCCTTTGTATTGTTTTTCTTTTGGTATTAAGCCCCAAAGTTTCCAAGCCACAAGTATGTGGCTAATCTGATTACTGTCATAGTTGGCAGGGAGTTCTTTCTGGACAACGCAACGGTAACTTTGCACATTCCTGTATTGTATGAATTCAGTGACCCGGTCGCCTGAAACTGCCAACATTTTCTTCCCCACCCACTGGCTTGTTTGTTTATCTAGATCGCATTGGATCATGGGACAGCAGTTGTTTGCTGTTTTAAACCAAATCCACTTAAAAAAACAAACAACATTTTGCGAAAAAATCATACTGCTGATCTAAATGAAATGCCACGGTGTCTTTTTTTAGAACCTGCCATCCCCCCGCATCCCACCCCTCTTTTGTTCGTTCCCGGCCTTGTTTTGTGCAGCACAATAGTCCCATTATTTACGGAGGCAGACAAGCCCTGTTTCAGCCTTAATGGCCCAGAACGAAATGTGCTCAATTTCTACAGTTCTTATTGGCTTGTTTCTGAAGTGGATTCTCTTTTCGATTCGACACGATGCCAGTCATTTGATGCCGGGGGCATGACACGATAGGCGGACAAAGGAACATGTAGGGAAGAAAGAACTTTCTGTTTGGTTTCATTCATGGGGCGTCAGCTGAGAATGAACTATTTTGCAGACAGCTTGAGTTCCTCCCACGCCCCTTCCTGCTTGTTTTGATTCGTGACTTTTTGGACACGACTTGTGTGACCGCTGAGCCATGTTGACAATGTCCAACAGACACAGTTTGTTGTTTTGCTTGTAAAGAAAAAACAACAACAAAACAACAACAAAAAACCAAACAAATCGCTTTCCCAGTCCTGTCCAAATGATGGCATATGATTTGTAAGACCCATAGATTTGAATTATGATAATATTCCCTTTTCCAAGCACAGTCGTGCCCGCCACTTATTCATCTTTCTAAAACCTTCGCTTCTCTGGTGTGATCTTTAATGGAGAGCAAAACACCACCCTCGCGATATAATAGTCAAATGCGTGCCGTACCTTTCCCTCCTCACCCTTTTACTGTTCTCTGATCATTTGTGAGGCAGCGTGCTGGACTCAGGCTCTCGTCAAAATAATCGAAATGAAGAAACTTGCATTTTTCTGCAGGTTTGTGAATTTTTATCAAATTTTTGTTTTTTTGGCTCAACACCGTTCATGCACATTAAAGAACTCATTTCTGTGTTGGTTTTTCTTAAAAACGTTGATTAAAGGCACACAAAAAATGTAAATTTTCAGTTACCAAGGACTCTTAAGCTAAAGAAATAACTAATCTATGACGGCCATTTGCTAATTAATTTTACCTCTGAAAACAAGTGACCCCCACCTCCTTCTTTCGCAAATATCTCGACTTGTATTCAAGATAAATGGATACTTTTTTCATCCAAATAACGACACGTGAGCAAGCTATAAGATGATACCAATAACTCTACATGCCCAAAAATTGACGAGAGCCTGATTCCACCACGCTGCCTCACATTTGTTGTATATTATGTTTGCAATACCCTATCTGGGCAGATTCTGCTTGGTTCAACAGTTGGTTTAAACTCTTTAAAATGTTTGTTTTATTTTACTTTAAGTTTTGGCATTGTTTGTGGCGTTTGGTTCTGAGATGATCTGAGCAAAGGTGTGTGGGCTCCTCTAGTGTAGCTTACGGCACAGTTTAGATCATTTAGGAGGCGGCTTCGACACTGCTTGTCAAGCCAACCAGGGCCTTGACGGATACAACGTCTCAGCAAAAGACTTGAGATCGTACTGGATAAGAATTCTCCCCCGCACGGGAATCAAACGCAAGTCTTCTGCGTGCAACGACTAAGCGCCTGATCGCTACACTACAGGCGCCTGACAATATTTATTAACTAGGATTCAATTTCTCTGCAATTTAAAATAATTGTTTTGTTTCATTTTTGTTTGGGGTTTGTGTTTGTTGTTTTTTTGGCTTGAGGGTTGGGTTTGTTTTTTTGTTGTTGTCTTTTTTGTTTTCTTTTTTGGAGTAAACGAAGATAGTATTTGCTTGAACTGACGTATGGACCCTTTTCTCATCCCACCACAGGTACGCCGAGTTTGTGAAGACGTTAGCGAGGACCAAACTGCGAGACTGGCAGTGCGTGGAAGATGTAGTGAAGAAAAAACGCGTGAAGCTTCTGTGTCTGAACGGCGACATTCGAGTGTACAGGATCAAAGTGGTGAAAAGCTGTAAATGCAAGAAAATCAGTAACTTGCACAATCGGACATCATACCGAGGTAAGACGAAGAAGAGGAGACGGAGGAGGAGGCGCAGGAAGCAGGATAGGAAGAACAAAGCCGGAAGAGGGTCATGACAGATTGATAAATAGTATTTTTTTTAGAGTATTCTTACAAAGTGTGGCGCACGTATGTGTCCTGTGAAGTGCGTGTAGATATATTGGTGATGGGTGTGTTCCTGGTCGGGGTCACCCGGCCGGCTCATCAGGAGCAACGGTCTTGGAAGGATACCAGGGGGAGAGAAATGGAGGCGCGGGGAGCTCACGCGCTCCCTGTGTTGCGTGTGTGTGGCCTTCCTGGAGACATCATTTCTCAAGGTCTTCGAGGATGGATCTGACGTGCGATGCTGAATTACAGACGGGCTCTTTCAGGACGAGCTGTGACGTCACTGGAGTTTGACGAGGCTCACACAGGCTTTTCCCGCTTTGTGATATCAGGAAAGAATTCGAGCCAGTTAGATGGAGTAAATTTCACCCCCGGAAAAAAACGTGTTGGTGTGTGTGTCCAACTATATCGTGTACCGAATGTAAAAAAAAAAAATGAGTAAAACTATATGCGATTATCATGGTGGTCGAAGGGATGTTTTAGTTTATTCTTTTAGACCCATGGTATTCTGGCACTGGGCGAAATGGTTAGCCTTCACGTTATTTAAAATCTACATGTATGTCCAAGTGTATTGTTTTGTTGAGGGTTTTTTCGTGTGAAGGCAAATAAAAAGGAATTCTGTGAGCTGGTGTCAGTGTACATGAGCGTCTGTTCCCAGCACGCTGATCTGTCTGAGAAATAGTGTGCCCCAAATTCTTCTAAAGACATTGATAATAATCTGAGAAGTAGGTGGCTTAAAATCACTTAGACACGGATGGGTGATGCCTCTATGATATAAATTGTTACTGGTCAGAGGTTGATTGTGAAATTCCAGTAAGAGACGCTTCGGTGTTTTTGTAACGTCTTTACTTCAAGAACAAGTCTTCTGGCTTGAGGATGTTTACACCGTTGAAAGAACTCAGTGCCTACGTGGCACGGACACGTCGCTGAACTTCCCTCAAAGCTGTCTTTACTAGGAGAAACTGTGTTGAAAACGTGTTGTTGGAGTGACATGAGCTTCATATGTGCCGGAAACGATTGTTTTACTTGTCCTATAGAAGCCTTCAGTGAATTCTATAAATGATTGGAGGAATTGTCGTTGTTTGCTGATGGCTTCTTTCTCTTCCCGCTCACTCACTCACTCACTCACTCACTCACTTACTCACTCACTCGCTCGCTCCTTTGCATGTCGTTTCCTTGTGATGTGATCATAAAACTGCATTCCACACCAACTCTGCGTTCGTTCATGCAGAAATCACCACGGGACTGCCGCCCTCGACGTTTTTGCTACACAATTCCTTGTCTCTCAACGCCACGATGACCTATTATTATGGCATTGTGCTCTTGACGCTCTTCGCATCGAACGACTGTCAAGGGAAGCACACCCACCAAAGACTTTGTTCAGGTCTTTACTGCTACTGACAGAGGTTATATAGTATAGAGTACTAGAGCTTGTGGCAGTGACGTCACGCGTGTCAGACATGGGGGAGTCTCCTTGCCCTCAACGGGATTGCCGGAGTGCCCCCCATCTACTTGAACAATCTGAGCCCCCCACCCCCCATGCGCTCTAGTATATCTATCACCGTCCTGCCCCCCACCCCCACCCACCCCCGGCCCCATTTCAATGCAAGTTTGTACTTGTAGATTTCCTCCAAAGACCGTCTAGACGTATCCAAGTGAGTCTCGAAACGTACTCTCGCTTTGTTGGACTGCAATGATTCTTGCCCTCAACGATCAGCTTCCCACTTCCCATAGTTGGCACACCCCCTC